ACAGGCCTACCTCAAGAAACAAGAAAAATCTCAAAGAAACAATCTAACTATACACCTGAATAGGAACTGAAGAAACTAGAAGAACAAACGAAGCCCAAAGTTAGTAGAAGGAAGGAAATAATAAAAATCAGAGTGGAAATAAGTGAAATAGAGACTAAGAAGACAATAGAAAAGATCAATGAAACTAAGACCTGGTTCTCTGAAAAAAATAAACAAAATTGACAAACCGTTAGCTAGACTCACTAAGAAAAAAAGAGAGAAGGCTCAAATAAAATCAGAAAGAAAAGAGGAGAAGTTACAACGGATACCACAGAAATACAAATGATCATGAGAGATGACTACAAACAGCCATATGCTAACAAATTAGAAAATCTAGAAGAAATGGATAAGTTCTTAGAATTATACAATCTTCCAGGATTGAATCATGAAGAAATAGAAAATTTGAATAGACTGATCACTAGTAAGGAAATTGAAACAATAATTGAAAACCTCCCAAAAAACAAAAGTCCCAGACCAGATGGCTTCACTGGTGAATTCTACCAAACATTCAAAGAAGACTTAACACCTATCCTTCTCAAACTCTTCCAAAAAATTGAAGAGGAGAGAATGCTTCCTAATTCCTTTTATAAGGCCAACATTACCCTGCTACCAAAACCAGACAAGGACAACACAAAAAAAGAAAATTATAGACCAAAATCTCTGATGAACATAGATGTAAAAATTCTCAACAAAATGTTAGCAAACCAAACACAACAATACATTAAAAGGATCATACACCACAATCAAGTGGGATTTATTCCAGGAATGCAAGGATGGTTCAACATCCACAAATCAATCAATATGATACACCACATTAACAAAATGAAGAATAAAAATCATATGGTCATCTCAATAGATGCTGAATAAGCATTTGACAAGATTCAACATCCACTTATGAAAAAAACTCTCAATAAAATGGATATAGAAGGAAAATATCTCAACATAATAAAGGCCATGTATAACAAACCCACAGCTAACATCAAGCTGAAAGATTTTCCTCTAAGATCAGGAACAAGGCAAGGGTGCCCACTCTCACCACTTTTATTCAACATAGTACTGTATGTGCTAGCCAGAGCAATTAGGCAAGAAAAAGAAATAAAAGGCATCTAAGTTGAAAAGGCAGAAGTAAAGCTGTTACTATTTGAAGATGACATGATTTTATATATAGAAAACCCTAAAGACTCCACCAAAAGACTATTAGAAATAATAAATGAATGCAGTAAAGCTGCAGGGAACAAAATTAGTATACAAAAATCTGTTGTGTTTCTATGCATTAACAAGCAACTGTCAGAAAGAGAAATTAATAAAACAACTCCATTACAAAGCAATTAAAAGAATAAAATACCTAGGAATAAATTTAACCACAGAGATAAAAGACCTGTACACAGAAAACTATAAGACATTATTGAGAGAAATTGAAGAAGATACAAAGAAATGGAAAGATATTCTGTGCTCATGAATTGGAAGAATTAACATTGTTAAAATATCCATATTACCTAAAGCGATCTACAGATTCAATGCAATCCCTATCAAAATCCCAATGGCATTTTTCACAGAAATAGAACAAAACATCCTAAAATTTGTATGGAACCACAAAAGACCCAAAAATAGCCAAAGAAATCCTGAGAAAAAAGAACAAAGTCAGAGGTATCACACTCCCTGATTTCATACTATACTACAAAGCTATAGTAATCAAAACAGCATGGTACTGGCAGAAAAACAGACACACAGATCAATGGAACAGAACTGAGAGCCCAAAAATAAACTCTCACATCTAGGTATAGCTAATCTTTGACAAAGGAGCCAAGAACATACAATGGAGAAAGGAAAATCTCTTCAATAAATGGTGTTGGGAAAACTGGACAGCCTCATGCAAAAGAACGAAACTAGATCACTATCTTACACCGTACACAAAAATTAACTCAAAATGGATTAAAGACTTAAATATAAGACCCAAAACCATAAAATTCCTAGAAGAAAACACAGGCAGTATGCTTTTTGACATCAGTCTTAGTGATATCTTCTTGGATATGTCTCCTCAGGCAAGGGAGACAAAAGAAAAGATAAACAAATGGGACTACATCTAACTAACAAGCTTCTGCACAGCCTGGAAAACCATCAACAAAACAAAAAAGACAATCCAAAAATGGGAGAAGCTATTCATAAATCAAATATCCGATAAGTGGTTAATATCCAAAATATATAAAGAACTCATACAATTCAACAAAAAACCCCAAACAACTCAATTAAAAAAATGGGCAGAGGATCTGAACAGACATTTTTCCAAAGAAGATATACAGATGGCCAACAGACACATGAAAAGATGCTCAGCATCACTAATCATTAGGGAAATGCAAATCAAAACCACAAAGAGATATCACCTTATGCCCACCAGAATGGCTATTATCAAAAAGACAAAAAATATCAAATATTGGAGAGGATGTCGAGAAGAGGGAACTCTCATACACTGTTGGTGGGAATGTAAATTGGTGCAGCCACAATGGAAAAGAGCAAAGACCTTCCTCAAAAAATAAAGAATAGAACTACCATATGATTCAGCTATTCCATTTCTGGGTATTTATCCGAAAAATACAGAAATACTAATTCAAAAAGATATATGCACCCCTATGTTCATTGCGGCATTGTTTAAAATAGCCAAGATATGGATGCCCATTGATGGATGAATGGATAAAGAAGATATGGTATAAATACCCAATGGAATTCTACTCAGCCATAGAAAAGATTAAATCTTGCCATTTGCAACCACATGGATGGACCTTGAGGGTATTATGCTAAATGAAATAAATCAGATGGAGGAAGACCAATACTGTATGATCTCACTCATGTGGAAGATAAAAAGCAAAACAAACAAAACGAAACGAAAACAAACTCATAGAAGCAGACAACAGATTGGTGGTTACCAGAGCAGAAGGACGGTGGGGGAAGGACAAAATAGGTAAATGGGGTCAATTGTACAATGACGATGGCAACTAGACTTTGGTGGTGAGCACGCTGTAGTATACACAGATGTTGAATTATAATGCTGTACACCTGAAACCTATATAATGTTATAAACCAGTGTTGCCTCAATAAAAAAAGATCCTAAAAAATAAAATCTTTGTCAGATAATTCTAACATCAGTGTCATCTTGGTGTTTGCGTCTGTTGATTATCTTTTCTCATTCACTTAGAGAACTTCCTGGTTCTTCATACGACAAGTGATTTTCAGTTGAAACCCGGACGTTTTGAGTGTTATGTTAGAGGGCTGCATCTTATTTAAATCTGTGTTTTCGCAAGCCTCCCCTGCCCCTGCTCCAGTGAAGTGAAGGGGGCACCACCTCATTACCGCCAAATGGGGGTAGAAGTCCAGCTCCTCCAACCAGCCTCCCTTGACCCTGGAGGGTGAAGGCTCCTTGTTATTGCTAGGTGGGGGTAGGGGCGGAGTTCAGGTCCCCATTAGGCATCCACTATTTCCACTCTGGCTGGGAGGGGAGGGGTACTTCATGACTGCTCCCCGCGTGGCTTCCACGCAGATCGCACTGCAGGAGGAGGGCTCGTTACTACTGCGCGTTGGTGAAGTCCCCACTCTCCAATGGACCTCCTCTCACGGCACCCCAGGGAGGAGGGGGAGGGACCTCCCATCACCCGCTGAGTGGGGGCAGATGTTCAGGCTCCCCTGACGGGGAGTGTGGTCTCCACTGACGCTGTGGGGAGGATGAGCCCACTGGGGATGGAGGGCACAGCCCCGGGCTCGGCTTCCTCTGGCACCACTCAGACGGGGTGTGGGGGCGTGGCCTGGGGTTCTTCCTTACAGCCCCGGGAGAGTGAAGTCTAGGTTCCCCATCAGCCTTTGTTGTCGGGGGTGAGAGGAAGCTGAAGGGTTTTCTGTGGTCCTTGGCTGGAGTAGAGCAGCTATTGCCCTGTCTTTCTAGGCTGCCCCTTTCCTGGTTCTTTGGCTAGAAGAGCAGGGTTTTGCTAGAGTGTTTTTTTTGTCTGTGCCCATGGGCATTTTCAGTTGCAGGCTTCTCCAGTATTCCGTCTTGGATATACCAGGGAAAGAAAAAACCCAGGGAATTCACCGCCACATCGTTCCTCAGGCCCCAGGGCCCCTAACCAGTGTGCCTTCTCTCCACCTTCCAGAGTCTTCTTATGCTTGTTTTATAATGTCCAGGGTTTTCACTTGTACTTCGCAGAAGAAATAGGGAAAAGTACCTGTACTTCCTGGAACATCACTGCAATTTGAAGTTGTTGTTCTTCACTCTCTCCATTTCCCTCTCAATGACTGGTGGTTGGTAGAGGGTGGTGTGGTAGAGGGTCGGAGTGAAGATTTCTCAGAAGCTGCCCTTTCACCTCTAGGGTTTGCATGGCTTTGCCTGCTGTCTGGCTCTGGTCTGAAGACACTCCCAGACTAGAAGTCTGGTAAAAGTGGCGAGGTTTGAGTCTCAGGACTTGCCAATTCAATAACACTTCACATAAGCTACCTTTTTCCTTCCTGAAATCTGTGTGTTCTTCCCTCAACCCTTGGGGGCTCTGATGCCTCAGTGTCAGTGATCAGATCCCCGAACATTCGTGCCCGTAGAGGGACAGTAACGCGAATGAGAAGAACGGGATGCGGTCACTGAACTGCAAATACTTTCAAGTTGGTTTGTGCCTTTTCGGCAGTTCTGATCAGCTTGGCTTGAGGCGTTAGCCTTTCCTAAGTGCCGGATGGAGCAGAAGGCGGGGAGGAGACAGCTCTGAACCATTTGATGGAGAAACTCCATCCACTGAAACTGAAAACTGACCGTAGATGCCTGAGGGTTCCTTCCGACCCGACTCCAAGCCCACAGCCCCTCATGGTGGTGTCTCTTGGCCATCCCCAGAGCTCCAGAGAGGCGGGGGGTGTGGCCAAGGAGGGTGAAATTAGTCATTGGAGACTTCGCTGTGCTTCCCCTTTCACTCGCAGATGCCACCAGGGTCCCCGACGAGGGAAGACACGAGGAAACAGGTAAGAACTATTTTGCTTTCTTCTGCATTCAACAAGCAGGTATGGAACAGCTGCCATGTTCCAGGCACAATTCTCAGGGCTGGGAGCACAGTGGGGAGCCCCTTCCCTTTCTCTTGCCAGTGTTACAGCAGGTTGTAGACCCCTGTCTTTGAGCAGCCCTGCTGCTGGGCTTGGCGAGTCTTCTGAGAGTAGGATGGGTCACTGGATGCCAGGGAGGGAAGAACAGACTCAGGGAGGCCAGCTCTGAGGTCCTGCAAAGGCCTCAACAGGCCTGCGTCTGGACAGTGTGGCCTGGTCCTCAGCCTTCGTGCTGAATGCCTACCGTCCCAGCCTCCATGTCCCACGGTGCCTCAGTGGCCTTCCAGTTCCAGGCCTGGGGCCCCACTTCTTATGCCCCAGAGACTGCCTGGGGCCCCTTGGAGTGAGCATTCAGCCCTGCTCTGAGAAGCGCCCCCTGCCCACTGGTCCTGGCGTCCTGAAGCCAGTCCCCAGTGAGAGTGTGGCGGTGGCTGCTGCAGAGGGGGCACAATGGCCCAGCTACTGGAGGCTAGCCTTTGCCATGATGAGTGGAATCTGGCCCTCGTGGAAACCCAAAGGGGTTTCAGGGTGTGTCCCTCAGAACACTGACCCCACAACCCTGCCGAGTGCTCATGGAAAACGTGAAATAGATCCTATGGCCAAAGAAGGGTGGGCAACCTACTGGACTCCAGCCCCATGCTGGGAGGCGTGTGCACACACACAACTGACGAAAGGGTTGGAAAAGACCTGCAGTAAAGAATCCTGTTTGACTTTTTTAACCCAGCTTTTCTCAAATGGATCTGATCTTGAAGACGTTTTTGTGTGTGACACTATTAGCCCCCGCAGAGCCGGTGTCAGAGTCTGGCCCAGTTCAGACCCCTCACCCCCAATCCATGCCCAGAGCCAGGCCAGCACAGCCATGCCGCCCAGGGACAGACCCCCTTCCTGCTTTCAGCAAGCAGCTTAGCTTTCCCCATCCTGGGTACTGGGTACCGGGTACCGGACACCCAACAGCCTTTGGCATGAGCCATCACGAGACTGAGGAGATAAACAGTCGGGGAGGGGGTGGCGCGTGGGAAATGTTGGCCGGGCGGTGGGAGGGGCGCAGGTCTGTGCTGAGACCCGGAGACACACTCTGTCAGCACATCCTGCTGGCTCCCGGGGGATGGCCCAGAGGGCACAGCCATGCAAATTGGGACTTAAATTTAACTCTATGTAAATGTAACTCTCTGTAAAAGTCTAGTGAGGTGGCGGCAAGCTTGCTGCACAGAGAGAGAGAGTGAGAGAGAGAGACAGGGGCAGTGGTTGCAGACTGGTGGCCCTTGACCTGCCTCTCACCCACCGACAAGTTTTTCTTGACCGGCACCGGGGGGTGTTTTTGTGTTTTTTTAAGCAGGACATTTCATGTGAAAATGTGGCTTCTTACTTCTCTTATAACAGGGGAAGATCAGGCAGTGCTGAGCCCACGGTCCCCCTGGGCAACAGTTGGCTGGAACTGAAATAGTCATCGCCTTGACACAAGGCGTGACCTCTGTCCCCACCTGGTTGATTTGTGTTTCCTACTCAGCCCCTGGGGGCATCTGAGTGGGACCCTTGGACCACATTCTCCTAAGTGCTCCCAACCCCTCTAAATGCTCTCTGGATATCAGACTTAATTATTGGTTTTAGAGTTGTTTTTTTCCTGGTCTTTCAAATCAAGGTTTCACCATGTTTCTCCCCTGTGTAAAACCCTTCACTAGTGGCTCAAGGTGAGCTCCAAGGTACCCAGGGCCTGGCATTCAAGGTGTCCAGTAGTCTGGTGCCACTCAAAGCCTGAGAGCTGGGCAGGAAGTTTATAAAACTGTGGATGGATGGATAGTCGGATGCATGGATAGACGAATGGATGGACAGACAGACGGATAGGAGGATGGACGGATGGATGGATGGACGGATGGATGGATGGAAGAAAGAAGGAGTGCTGGGAAGAGAGAGAGGCTAGCCCTGTAGAGTTCTTGGGCTGAAAGGAGAGGCACAGCATACCCAGAAAAGGTCCCATGAGCATCCGGAAGTCCACATCCCGCCATGCAACCAGACGTGGTCCTCCCGGGATCGGGGAAATGGGGTCAGAGCTCAGTGGATGAGCAAGAAAAGCCGTCTGGAAGAAGTAGGCCACCAGATGGCTCAAAGACAAACTCTTCCTGGCCCAGGTTCCCGCCTAGACACAACACCATGCGTCTCCTCGGCCCCTCACTCCTGCTCCTCGGTAAGGACTGTATCTTAGGCTGGTCCTTCAGTGCTGGGATGACTGTGGGAGCTGGTGGAGAGGAAAGACCTGGGGCAGAGAAGAGTCAAGGTGGGGTGGGGTGGGGTGAGGGCGGTCCTGTATATATGTGTCTATATTCTTCTCTCTTTGTGTCTTGCTCTCTTGGTGTGCCTCCTGCTCGCTCCCTCCATCTTCAGAGGGGCCTCTTTATTCCTCTGAAAGCTCTCCATGCCTCTCAATAATAATCATGATCACTGTACTGGCTTCCAGAATACTTGGCTTTCTCTGACTCAACTCGGTGGATATTTAACCACCCCAAGACCCTCTACACCTGGGAGAGGGCCTGCGTCTGGATTCCCTGCAGCTACAGAATCCCAGAGCGTGGAAGTGTAGTGGAAAACATGACCGTGTACCACAATTATGAGTATGACAAAGGCAGGAAGCAGTACACGGGGACCATCCTCTATCAGAAGACAAACACCAAGGAGATTTCTCGCGAGGAAAGGGTACAGTTCCTGGGAGACAACAAGTCCAACTGCACCCTCCACATCCACCCTGTGGGTGTCCAAGACAGTGGTCGGCTGGGGCTGAGGATGACATCGGGGGATGACAAATGGATGGAGGATATATTCCTGAACGTCTCTAGTAAGGCCCTGGGGGATGGGGTCCTCTACCCCAAGGGTGGGCAAGGAGGGAGGTGGGAAACATCCGGCTCCTGGGACAGGGTGGCAAGGGGGGTTGCCTGCAGAGGCCAGGCAGGGGTGCCAGCGAGTGACTCGGGTGGCACAGGACAACAGGGCTGTGGCAAACTGGAACCTGAGCCCTGTCCCTCTTCAAGCATCCCGCCCGCCACTCAGCTCCTGCCCATCCTGGAATCCGGATTCCAGGTTGCCTGATCTTTCAAGAGAATATGGCAATCTGGATTTTCAAGTGAAATCCCCTAGTGTGTTAATGTTGGTGATTAACTCTAATGAGCCCTTCACGGCTAAATGACACACATGTAGGGGGTGCGTCAAACACCGGTCTGGGGTCCCCGCCTTGGGGAGCGTGCTTACTCCATCCCACAGCCTGTTTCTTCAGTGGGTGGTTCTAAGCAGCCCAATGTTTAGGGTGAGAGATGTAGCTTCAGATCCTGCCGTCTGAGAGTGGCCCAGCCCCTGGGAGAGCTGGGCCTGGCGCTCACAGGCCTGCTCTACTAAAGGAATCCCCTAAGGGTGTCTCCAGTATCTAGGCCACTAAACACATGCAGGTCTGTCATCAAAGCTAAGAAATGCACGTTGAACTAACCTGATAAAATTCACCTGGGGGTGGTGGGGAGAGTGCTCTTGAACCCACTGAGAAAGCAAACATTAGGGAGTGAGACAGAAGTAAGTATAAAATATAAAATACAATTCCTAAGGAGGATCAGTATTCATAAGACCTTTCAGAGTGTGTTTCGGCTGAGCAAACATGGCTCAAAGCAGAGAAAGGCAGGCCCAGGGAGAGGTGGGACAGACAGGCAAGGATTCCTGAGGTGTCGTTTGGGGAGGGCATCGAAAGCCAGGTGTAGGAGGCTGGTACCCACTGCTCCTCAGGCTCCCCCCCCTGCAGCACGGTCCCTTCTCTCTTGCAGAGACGGCCCCTCCACCTCACGTCTGGCTCCCTCCAGAAATCCGGGAGTTCCAGGAGGTCACCCTGACCTGCTCGCTGAATTTCGCCTGCTTTGGGTACAAATTGCAGTGGTCCCCAAAGGGGTCTGGTGTCCCCTCGACCTCCCTGACCCCCCAGGTCGTCTCCACCGAGAGCAGGTTCACGTTCCAGCCACAGTGGACTGACCACGGCAAGAATCTGAGCTGCCAGCTCTTGGATCCTGACAAGCAGGTGCTCTCTGAGGAAACCGTGAGGCTGGATGTGAAGCGTGAGTGTCCCCCGGGCTCCTCTGGGAAGGACGAGGGGCTCGTCATCTTCTCCCCAAGCCCTCAGTGAGCACAGAGTCCCAGGAGCCTACACGGAAGGAGGCGTGACCAGCCTGTGGACACCCGCAGCTGGGAATGGTCCAGGCAGAGCCTGTTCCCTCCTGCACACCCCTGTTGTCAGCTCTGGCGTGTCAGGAAACAGACTCATTTTAGCATCTGCTTTGGTCCAACAGAATAAAATAATTTAATCTATCCTTAAGCCATGACATGATTTTGGGATCATCTGGTTAGGTTTTGTGGTTCCCCTGGGTGGTGAGGGTGAGAAATGTTGTCACATCCTTATTTGTGCCTCATTCATTCATTCAACAAATCTTTACTGCAAACCTACCAGGTACCAGGCCTTGTTACGGCTGCCGGGGATACTGTGGTGAGCAACGTTCACGCCCACAGGGAGCTGGCGTCGCAGTGGGACAGACAAAGAATAGATAGATTAACAAAGAAATATAGAACATACTTGTAGGTGGTGCTAAGTGTGTAAAGGAAAAATACAGCAGGGCGAGGACAGAGGGAAGGAAGGTTGCAGGCTTCTCTGAGAAAGGTGAACTTGAGCTGAGACTTGAGTGAAGGGAGGGACTGAGGAAGGCAAATATTTGCAAGAAGACTATCGCAGGGAGAGGAAAGAGCGAGGACCAAGGCCCTGAGGCAGGAGCACGGGGTGTGGCACAGGCTGCCTCGGAGCTGTGTCCGAGGGCCAGCCGTAGGAGAGGACGGCCAGGAGGGACCGGATGCTCCATCCCGTGCTCTGCAGTGAGGGTTTTGGATTTTATTCTAAGAGTGGAATCAACTGAATGGTTTCCAGCCCAGGAGGGACAAGGTCTTATTGGCAGTATTAGGAATGCTGCTGGCTGCTGGTGGAGAGCAGACCTCTGGGGACTGGGGCCGTGGGGAGCAGAGAGACAAGTTATGAGGCTGTGACAGTCATCCGGGTGCTTGGACCAGCCCAGCCTTGTTGACAAGGGTAGCAGGGAATGGCTGCACACCCTCACACGCCTTGTGTAGGCTGCTGTAACTTCTCACCATCTTACATCCTCTGAGAATTCCCTGTCTGCTCCTCCAGACCGACCAAAGTTGGACATCAAGGTCAGACCTGAAGAAGCTGTTGTAAGAGAGGGGGATCCTGTGACAATGACGTGCCGGGTCGTCAGCAGCAACCCAGAGTACTGGACCATATCCTGGCTCAAGGATGGGATCCCGCTGAGTAGGGAGGAGATGCCAAGGGAGCAAGAGATGCTCACGTTAACTCTGTCCGGAGTGACCAAAGACATGAGTGGAAAGTACCAGTGTGAAGCCCACAATGACATGGGCTCAGAAAAGTCCCAAGAAGTGGACCTCCATGTGCATTGTGAGCCTCCCGGGAGCCTGGAGGGGGCAGGCAGAGACTTAGCAGGAGTGGAACCCAAGCCCTCGAGAGGTAAGCAGCAGAGGCTCTCCTCACCTCCCCCCTTGCCTCTGTTCCTTCTTCCAGATGCTCCAGAACCTTCCACGGTTCAGATCTCCCCCTCGCCAGCTACGGAGGGAAATCCAGTAGTGCTGACTTGTACATCACAGGCCAGTCCTCCTCCAACAAATTACACCTGGTATCACAACGGGATAGAGGTGCCAAGAAGGACAAGTAAGACCTTCCAGATCCCAGAGGTCCTCCTCAGGCACGCTGGGAATTATTCCTGCCTGGCAGAAAACGCTCTTGGTCCTGGACAAGTTGGCCAGGAGGCTCGGCTGGTCGTCCATTGTGAGTAGTCACAGAGCCTCTGGATTCCAGAGGGAGCAGGTGGAAGCGGGAGACGGAGGAAGGCAGGTGGAGGGCAGGGGATGCTTGGCTCCTAGAATGGACGGCAAGCAGATGCCAGGGTCTCCTGACCTGCAAGCTCTCGGCAGGTGTTTGCTGTTGCTCACAGCTGTGTTCTCAGCACCAGAGCAGGGCCCGGCTCATGGTCAGTGCTCTGTAGATGTCTGTTGAATGAATGAACTGCAAGATGTCACGGCCCCATGAGGGACTTGGAGACTTGGCGTCACTAAGCAGTGGCTGAGTCCCAGAAGGGGTCCTGAAGTTTTCAAGGAGAACTGGGGCAAAATGTCTCATTCTCTCTCCATTGTCAGACCTTGGTCAACATAGTGAATCTTGTCACTGAGCCGAGTCCAGGACAAAGAGAATCCGTAGGTTTGATCTGGGACCCTGGGATGTCACGGTCTGGACTGAATGCACTGATAGGGATGCCCAAATCGTAAACATCTTGACAGCTGGAAGGATGCTGACAGCAGCAGCAGACACGGTTATTAAGTGTTTACTACACACCACATCGCTCTAAGGGCATCACCTCATTTCCTCTTTGCAACAATTCGACAAGGGGAGGTACTTTTAGGACCCCATTTGACAGACAAGTAAACTGAGGCTTGCAACCATGCTCACATAGCTCGAAGTGCAAGGTCCAGCAGTCTGGCTCCAGAGCTGTCCTTTTTTTTGTTTTAATTAATACCTGCACCGCAGTGACCCAGCTCTGCTCCCCACACCCATCTGCAGACCCGCAAACAGTGCGCCTCCGCCTTGCGTGGGACCAGGCGTCCTCTGCCCGGGGCTGCACTCTTAACGGCTGCCCCATCTGCCTCAAAGCACAGCCAGGCCAGATGGCCAGGGCAGGGTTTCCGTCCTCACACAGATGCCAGAGGGAAGCACGAGGCTTCCTGTGGTGAATTCAGGAACTGTGTGAACTCAGGGCACAGGAGGGGGAAAGAGGAAGCAGGAAAGAAAGGGTATATGGACAGCTGACTTTTCTTCACCCATCTGTCTGGTTTTCTCCCAGATCCCCCCAAGGGGGTAACCATGGTGATTCTAAACCCCACGCCGATCCGAGAAGGAGATGACGTGACCCTGTCCTGTCACTACAATTCCAGCAACCCCAGAGTCACCCGCTATGAATGGAGTCCCTGGGGCCCCTGGCATGAGCTGTTACCTGGGGTGCTGACAATTCCAAAAGTTGCCTGGGACGCCAAGCCCATCACCTGCACAGCCTGTAACTGGTGGTGTTCGCAGGGGCTTCCTGTCAAGCTGGACGTCCAGCGTGAGTGACCCCGGCGGGGGCACCTGGGAGATAGCCGAGCTGGGATCTGGGGCTCTGAGGGGGAGGAGCCTGGACCAGAGTCTTCACAGAGCACTGAGGGATGAGAGTCAGTCCTCAGGGCCGTGGGGAGAGGAGGTCCTGGGGACAGGAAGAGGGAAAGGGACTTGAGGTCAGCCTGAGGTCCTTGCTCTCCAGATGCCCCCAAAGATGTCAAGGTCCTGCTGATCAGCCCCCGTTCTGAGATTTACTCTGGGGACCCGGTCCACCTCCAATGTAACTTCTCCAGTAGCCGCCCCACAGACGTCCACTTCTTCTGGAAGAAAGATGGGATCCTTCTGCAGAAAGGAAGAGAACTGAGTTTTGCCGCCATCTCTCCAGAAGACGCCGGAAGTTACAACTGCCTGGCCAATAACTCCATAGGGCAGAGCACGTCTGAGGCCTTGAGGCTCCAAGTGCTGTGTGAGTGGTAGAACCAGAGGCTGAGAGCAGAGACGCGCAGGTGACCAGCCCCCCGATCCTGACTCTGCTTCTCTTACAGATGCCCCTAGGAGGCTGCGTGTGTCTGTTAGCCCAAAAGACGTGATAGAGGGGCAGAGGGCAGTCCTGTCGTGTGAGAGCGACGCCAACCCTCCCATCTACCACTACTCCTGGTTTGACTGGAATGACCAAAACCTCCACCATTCTGATAAGATGCTGAGACTGGATCCCGTGAAGGTCCAGCACTCAGGCGCCTATCGGTGTGAAGGGACCAACGGAGTGGGGGCAGGCATGTCGCCCCCCAACACCCTCACAGTCTACTGTAAGGCCCCTTCCCGCATCTTCTCTGGCCCTGGGCACTCCTGCAGCTTCCCCCCAAGGCTGTGCGTTCCGGACCACCTCACCCCTCCTTCCCAGCACTCCCCTCTCCCGTCCTGTGGGGCCAGCCCGGCCTGTGCACTCATAGGGGCACCCCCTCCTCCCCACACAGCTCACCTGTCGTCCCTCCTTCCCGCTCAGTCTCTCCTGACTCCCTCGGGGGCGATCCCCTCTCAGGCTGCCCCCCACCTCCAGACAACCTGAGCTCCTCCTGGGTCCCTCTCTCTGTCTCTCTCTCTGTCTCAACTTTGATAGGTTGCTTGTTTTAATCTTTTGAGATTTTAGGGTTTTTTTTTTTTTTAAAGACAATGTACCTAGTAGAAAGACAGACGCCTCTTCTTTCTTGCTCCCTGAGAACTCCACCCCACCCCCGGAGGCAGCTGGTTACGTCTCCTTACAAAGACTTTCTGTACGTGCACAGCAGGCATGTGTGGGTCTATGTCTGTGCACACTTTTGTTACACAAATGGTGGGAGAGCTCACACTTTGCTCTGAACCTTCTCTTTTTCCGTGTAATAACACCACTTGGAGATTGTTCTATATCTGTGCCCACACAGGGCGTCTGAAGAGTCTGGAAACACAGGGAAGATATTTAATTTATTTACTGTAGTTTTTCAGATTAATAATGGGAGCCACAGCTTTAAATTTAGAGGGTCATTGCCTGCAAGGCGGGGCGCTAAAGGGGAACAGCCTGTGCGTGTTATTTGGAATGAAACACATTGTATAAAAACACGGGTCCCTGTGTCTCCACTTTGCAGACACCCTGGAGCCCTGCCTCTTTTCCTAAGGGCTGCGCTGTCTTCCTGTGCATGGATGCTGCCTGCTTATCTCCCAGTGCCCTCCTCAAGGCTGTGGGCATTCTTGCTCTGCACACACCTGCGAGGAGAGTTGCAGGATAAATTTCTACATGGAATTGCTGGGTCAAAGGACAAGTGATTTTAAGTTCTGATTGTATGGCCACACTGCCCTCTGAAGAGAATGTACCCATTTACGAGGACTGCGTGCTCTGTGTGTGCCCACGCTGGTCACAGAGCAGGAGCTTCTCGTGAGGAAGAGCTAGCCCTTTCCTCCACACGGGAGGTCCAGGGGGCGGGGGCTGGCGTCTCCCTCTTCCTCCGCATCTTGTCCTCATGCAAAAAGACAGCGGCTGTGCGGACAGAAGTGGAGGATGCGAAGTGGAGCATGCGTACTGGGCACGGCCTCAGGGCAGGGCTGGCCCGTGACCTGACTGAGGCGGTGTCGTCCACTCACGGAGGCTCCTTCCTTCCTCAGACAGTGCAGAGACCATCAGCAGACGAGCGGCCATGGGAGTGGGCTTCTTCCTGGCCATCCTCCTCCTGGCCATCTGGGGAGTCAAGATTCGGCGAAGGTGAGCTCCTCCCCTGCCCACGTCCTCCGCTCTCCCTCCGTGACTCCAGGGAGGGACTCCAGTTCCTCAGTCCCGTGGTCCCCAGCTTGCCGGTTCCACAGCGACCTGCTCCCGTTCCCGTGATCCTCACTGGGCAGGTCTTGGTTTCTTAGCTGGAAGAGGATCCGGAGGCAGCAGGAGCATCAGGAAAATTCCAGTGGGCAGAGCTTCTTCGTGAGGAATAACAAGGTAGGATGGGAGAAGAATAAAAAGGCAAGGCAGACGCTGAAGTCAAGCAAACTGAAGGGGGTGAGGAGGAGTTCTGGGGGGAGGGCTGGGGTGTCACAGGCCAGGAGCAGGGAGCTGAAACCTGTCTCTCTCCCAGATCAGAAGAGCCCCTGTCTCGGAAGGCCGCCACTCCCTGGGATGCTATAACCTGGCGATGGAAGACTCCAGCAGCTATGGTCCCTTGCGCTTTCCTGGCGGCGAGACTGACGTGCCGAGTACAGGGTATTGAGGGTACCAGGAGGGTGACACCGCGTCCTGGGGGGTCTGTGGGAGGAAAAGGTCGTGTCCTGCCTGCTGGCTTTGTGTGGGGCCTGTGCCACCGCCATACACCCATTACCTCGCTCCAGCTCTGTCACAACCCCCTGGGTGAGTGATGGTCTCGGGAACTGGACCTGTTCCTTCAAGCCAGGAGCATGGAGGCCCAGAGTTGGTCTCTGTCACCAAGCTTAAGACTGTGATACATACATACGTTCACTCATTTGACACATTAGCTCCTACTGTGAGCACTGGGCATAACAGGGAAGGGGCTGAGGGGCTGGGGTGCTCTTGGGGTCTCCGGGAGTCGGAAGAAGGAGAGAGTTCCTGCGAAATGCTTCCTTTGTGGTCCTCTGTCTGCCCTCCCTCTCAGAGATGCAGAGACTTCAGAGATGCAGGGACTTTCCCTAAACGGGGACAACACGGTCACTTACTCTGTGGTGCAGAAGCATCACGTGGTAAGAGGGCAGGGCTGTGGGAGGAGGGGGATGAGGGGCCTGGCCTCGGTGGTGAGTCCTGGATGGGAAGGACTTGGGTGGACTCAGTGGTGGCAAAGGCTGGGCGGTGGGGAGGGTCGCTCAAGCCCAGGTGTGGTCAGAGCCGGGCAGGCACCTCGCAATCTGAGATGCCAACTACAGCCAGTCTCTGGACAAGAAGACCCCCACTCGTGCTCTTGGGCTCCCCGGTGGAGCCAAGGAGAGAACAGGCAGGGGAAGCAGACTGTGGGAGGGTGGTAAAACAATGTGGTTTTCTCAGGGCGACTATGAGAACGTGACTCCAGCTGTTCCGGAAGACGAGGGGATACATTACTCAGAGCTGGTTCACTTTGGCGCTGGGCAGCGGCCTCCGGCCGAGGAAGGCGTGGACTACGTGACCCTCAAGCACTGATGGGCCACACCGGCTGAGGTGGGGTGCCCAGGCCCTGCAGGAACCCGTCCTGGAGTTTCCCCAGCATCTGCTGCTCAGCCACGGAGCTCCACAGCCTTCCCCTTCACACACACACACCATTACTGCAACTCCAGTGGGTGCAGAGGACTCTGTGCACGGCCCAGGGACAGTCTTCCTTCTCAGCGCTGGGAACCCTGACTCTGAAAGGCCTTCCTCTGGGCCTTTTCTGCCCTCCTTCCCTCACCTACCCTGCGCTGTACAAACCCCCTACCCCTCCCCAGCCATCTGCCACCACCCCCTCCCCAAGCCCCACGCCAGCTGGCTGTGTTCCTGCTGGGGTCAGCTTGTCACTATGGTTTCTTTCCCTCCCTATCCCTTTGACCCCCTCCTCCTGCTCTGATAGTCCCCCTCACTAATCTTATGCCCAAGTTTTGCCTCTAGGGCGAAGCCCAGGGAAAGAGGAACAGAAATGATGCAGACAGAGGCACTGTCCTGTTCTGGTTTCTCCTCTCCGTGTACGCCAGGCTGTCCATGGAGAGGGTCACGCTGCTGGAACCCCCTGCCTCAGGGGTCTCATGGTCTGAGCCATACCCCCGTGTGGACAAACGTGTAACAAACACGGAGCTGCCCAATAAAATGGCTCAGATCCCACTTCAAAGAACCAGTGAACTATTTCCAGTCTGCAGAGCCCGAGTGGGGACAGGGAGATGGGGAAGGTGTTGCGGGGCTTGGGGAGAGGGGAAGAGAGTCAATGTGACGTCACGATCAAACCAGCAGATTGGCGAGTCCATTGTCTTGCTGCTGAGTGCCCTGGCTCTGCAGGCAGACAGACAGACACGAGTCTGAGTCTTGACACTTCTGCTTAAGTAGCTCAGAGATCTTGGGCAAAGTGCCCCAGCTCATCTGAGCCTCAGTTTCTTCATCTGTAAAATGGAGATGCCCCTACGCACTGTGCAGGTGGTTCAAGATAGGAAGTGAAGTATGATCTTGTATTCACTGGAGTCGCATTATTAGGGGCCTAATGCAACAGCCAAAAGTCCCTAACAACCACAGTCCCATCTTATTTGCATCTCTTGAAGAATGTAAAAAGGGGAAGCCAATTCATTACTCACAGTTATTTTCAAAAGTGACCCTGCCAAGGTCTTTCACAACCCACAGCTGCCTAAGAACTTCTCGAAAGCCAGCTGCCTTGAGAAACCTCACGGCTTTTCATCTTCACTGTCACCCCCACCAGTTCCCTATGACCTTCACTAATTCACACTTTCCATTAGGTCCTTCTGGCTTCCCCTCCACTTCTTGGGTTTCACATCCCTCCCCCCATTTTCCTGCTTCTGCCAGTGGGCTACAGGGTTCCTCAGGGCAGAACGCATGGTTATCCATCAGCAAGAAGATGACTGTAAAATTCCTGGCCTGCAGTGGGTGCTCCAAAAGTTCTGCCTTCTTTCCCTGCCCCCTTTCCCGCTCGCTCAGTACCACAATGTTCTCTAAGCGAAGACGACATTCTGGTCATCTTTGGAATTAGGGTAGCATAAGGCACTGATTTCCCCATTGAAGGGGGAGGAAGAGTATCCTCTACCCACTCTGGGTCCTTCCTGGCTGGGACACAAATTAAATTGACATGAGACCGAATAGCAGGAGAAAATAAAAAAAGTTTAACATCATGTATACATGGGAGAAACCAGGGAAACTGAGTTTCTCAACAAATGGCAGAGGTTTTTCACCTGAAATAGCATATTCAGGTAGACAAAGGAGGAGGTTGGGGGTGGGGAGGGAGACAGAAAGCACAGTAATCAAGAATATGCAGATTTAAGTCCTCTCCTTCTGTACTGATAAGAGTTTCTAGAGATAAGGTCATCCCTCCTCTTCCTAGTACAGAGAGGGAGACACCTTTACAAATGGAGATTTCTCTTACAAGTGTAAATTTTCCATACCCAGAGTTATATTCACTTAGGCAGTTAGTGGGGGAGGTCAGATGTCTGTCAGAGAAAATAATCAAGGTAAAGAGACATATTTTGAGGTGGCCAATATTTCCCACACCATCAATCCACATTGTTCCAGTCTGATTTCTTGTGAGCACCATTAGCTTCTCTGGAGGAAGGGAAGACTTCCAGAACTATTTAAATGAGAGGGGACAGGTTTGGGGGTCTCTGAGGTCCAGTATCATTCAGCCATTCAACCATTTATTTAGCAAACATTTACTGCACACCTGTCAATGCATCCAGCACAGAGCCAGTTGTTGGGGTACAAAAAGACATGACATAGTCCTAATCTTGGGGATCTCCAGTCTAGAGCGCCCACAGGGTTTGAGGTCAGGGGCCCCTCAAAGTTGCTGAAGGCAGCCCCGAGCCTAATGAGGCCTGGCACAGGCTCCCTGGCAACCAGCAGGTACCTTCCCATCCCGTCCCTGAGCCCGGCTGCTGACATAAACCTGCTTCATGACCAATTGACCGAGAGATGTGTGCACACCACCAGGGCGTGCACAGCAGGTGGCCAGGAAGCTCTGAGGCCAGGGACTCCAGAAACCGGGCAGCCCTCCGCCCAGCCCCAGATCACACCGTCCTCCCAGGGCCCAGACAATTGACCATTCGTTCAACTTGCAGAGCCCTTGCTCTGTACGCAACAGGCAGTGGACAAAGCAGACAGAAATCTTTGCCCTCGCTGACCAAAATTCTAGCAGAGGAGCCAGCCAATCTGAGGCTGCAGAGTCGTGGGTGGTCTGAATAAACACAACACAAAATGAAAACAGAGAGAGTGGCTGGAACAGGGGAGGGGCCCATTTGGTCGGAGGGATCAGGAAGGCCTCTTGAGGAGGTGACACTGGGCAGAGACCTAACCGCCAGGCGGGCAGGGCCGAAGCAGGGAAGATCTTGAAGACCTGATGTCTCCCTTTGTGCCCAGCTTCACTCTTCTCCCAAACGCTTACAGGAGGTGAAATGTCGTTCCTTTCGATTTTTTGCTCGGGTCTGTCAGTTTCTCAGTGTTTCCCAAAGACAAAACACCAATGACAAGTGGCAAGTTCTTCTACATTCCAAGGGAGGTGATGGGCCAGACGTGTAGGACGTGAAAGGGAGGCAACCAAGAGTCAATTTACTGACTGAGATGGAGAAAGGACGTTAGATCATTTCTCTGTAGGGAGTTGTTGATATGTTAGAACCCCACGCTGACCCACCTGGGGCCGGCAAGAAGCACCTCCAGGAAACCCCTCAGAGAAGGTTCTTCTGGGTGACTGGGAATTTGAGAGGGGCATGGTGGCTGACCCACACACCCGAGGAAACTGAAGTGGAGAGAGAGGCTGTGTTATCGTTCTGAGGCAGCAGAGACAGACAGACAGAGAGACACACGCACAGTCAGGGATAGAATCGCAGAGACAGCCTGGGGCCGTTTTAAATTTGACTTAGGAGGTCTGCCCAGAAGGGCGAGGTGACCCCAACAGGGAGGTAGGCGGCGGAATTCCCTGAGGCTGAGGGCCCTTTGACATCCCCACGGCCCTGAGGGGGCAGAGTGGAGACCACAGCCCGGTCACTCCTGTGCCGCCCACAAGACTTGGATTGTCCCATGTCTCTCCTCCTCCTGGCTCCTGCCAATACTGGACGGGTCAGAAACCCTGGCCATCCAGCCAGGGGGGGCAGGAGAGGGAGAACAGAGGAGCCCTCTCCTCAAAAAACGTGCCCACGGCCAGCACAAGTCAGGGGAGGGCAGAAGCTATCACTTGCAAGGATGGTTTCATTCTCCCACACATTAATTACCAGATAGATGGTGCAGGGGACTAAGGTGACCAGGGTACTTTTTGTTATCTAGGTGGGAGCCAGTAAAGTCTGGGGCTTGCCCACGGGCTCCTCTGGGAGCAGAAAATCTTAGCCCCCAGAGCAGGTTTGAACAGGCTGCGGTGGGGGCGGTGGGTGTGTTCTGGTTGCACCCACAAACTCTGCTCCTTCAAGGTGCCGCCACACGCTCCCCACTCTGCCCAGAAAAGCCCTCGTTTCTGCCCTCTCCCCTTGCTGTGTTTGCACCCTCACCTGAAACCCTCACCTCCTCAGTCCGGCTGAGATGCCCCATTAGCTGCTCACCCAGGTTGCTAGTGCCTCGGCCTAATGGCCCTGCCACCCCGCCCTCTCTCCCTTCCGGCTCACTGCCCATCCCGGCACCCTCCCGCGGCCTGGCGAGGGGGACTCCTGGCCCTCAGAGACAGCTGGCAGCGCCAAGAGGTGAGTCCCTCTTTCTGTGGCTCCTCTCTTCACCGATGATTATCTCCCAGGCCCCCAGGGCCCCCTGCTTAGGGTGCCCCCTGAAGTCGGCCAAGGTCATTCCCGGTGACACTGATAGGACCTGGCTTACCCTTGGGCTCTCCCCTGGGGACCTCCTTCGCCTGTCCTTTGCCACACCCTCCACCCAAAGCCCAACTTCTCCTCTGCTCAGCTAGGAGTTGCCACCACCTCCACCGCCTGCCCTGCAGACTCCACTGTGGGGGGCGGCTCCTTCTCTTTCCAGGGAACTGGGCAGAGGGGGGCAAATCCAGGGTCTAACTTCCATTCCTTAGAAAAACACGTGCTGTGGGGCCCAGCTCTGTCCTGAATTCTCTCCACCCCCTCTCTCCCCAGACTCACAAATCAAGAGGCCATCCCTCTGTCCCTCTTATGGGACCTGCACGCCTATGTTCTGTCTTCTGTGGCTCCACGATCACTCTCTTCATTTCAAGAGGTGATAACGTGGCGACAGCAGAGGCCGAAGGGCAGGCAGTCGTCCCTTCCTATCCCTGCTGGACCGCTAACTGGCTGCCACCTCCCTCTCTGGGCCTCGTCTCCTCAACTGTCTCACTGGATGGCTTCGAACACCCCAAGCAATGCTGAAACCAGTTCTTGAGTCCAGGAGCTCCTCGTCCCCGGACCCCGAGATCTGAGGACAGGCAGCAAGTGGGGCACAGGAGGGAGGAGGCCGGCCGGCCCCATGGACCTGCCCCCGCAGCTCTCCTTCGCCCTCTACGTGGCCGCCTTTGTGCTGGGCTTCCCGCTCAACGCCCTGGCCATCGGAGGCGCTGTGTGGCACGCCCGGCTCCGCCTCACCCCCAGCCTGGTCTACGCCCTGCACCTGGGCTGCTCTGATCTCCTGCTGGCTTCCTCTCTGCCCCTGAAGGCGGCAGAAGCCCTGGCAGGGGGAGCCTGGCCACTGCCGGCTGCGCTCTGTCCTGCCTTCGCCCTGGCCCACTTTGCTCCGCTCTATGCGGGCGGAGGCTTCCTGGCCGCCCTGAGCGCAGGCCGCTACCTGGGAGCTGCCTTCCCCCTGGGCTACCAAGCCACCTGGAGGCCGCGCTATTCCTGGGGCGTGTGTGTGGCCATATGGGCCCTGGTCCTCTGTCACCTGGGGCTGGTCCTTGTGTTGGAGGCTCCTGGAGGCTGGATGGACAATACCACCAGCCTGCTGGGCATCAACACGCCAGTCAATGGCTCTCCAGTCTGCCTGGAGGCCTGGGACCCAGCCTCAGCGGGCCCTGCTCGCCTCAGCCTCTCTCTCCTTCTCTTCTTTCTGCCCCTGGCCATCACAGCCTTCTGCTACACAGGCTGCCTCCGGGCACTGGCCCGCTCAGGCCTGAGCCACAGACGGAAGCTGAGGGCAGCCTGGGTGGCTGGCGGAGCTCTGCTCACACTGCTGCTCTGCTTAGGACCCTACAATGCCGCCAACGTGGCTGGCTTCCTGCACCCCAACATGGGGGGCCGCTGGCGGAAGCTGGGGCTCATCACAGGTGCTTGGAGCGTGGTGCTCAACCCATTGGTGACCGGCTACTTAGGAGGGCATATTGGCCAGAGGACAACATGTGTGGCGAGAACAAAAGGGGGGACGTCCCAGAAGTAGTGGCTGCTGCTGGGGGGAAGGGGCGTGAGGCAGGAGAGCCTGGCTGCTTCTCCAGGCCCCTCGTGGGGGCCGCTCCAAAGAAACTGCAGGCGCCTTGCCTGGGGGCGTCCCTGGAGCCACTTACAGGAAGAACGGAGTCTGGCAGAAGTCTGCATCCCAGTGGGAGAAGAATGGAGGCCGGGAGCGAGGTGGCAGGAGGAAGGTAAGCTTGCCTCTGCACACATCAGCATGAGTCTCCCCACCCCATCTGTCTCTCCTCTCCTCGGTCCTTACGTGCTATGGACAGAGGCCTCTCACTGCGGGGAAGGAGGAGGGAAGTTTGCTTCTGATCCAGAGCAACTGCCACTCTGATGACACACTTTGGGAGACGCTACTCCAAAATCATTTCCTAGGGAAGAATGTTTTCATTTCTGTATGAGAGAAGAGGCAGGAGGCAAGATAATGACACTGTTATACCACTTGGAACTCACAAGGGGGCAGCATTAGAAGGAGGGAAAATATTAGCAACACAGAAACAGCCGCAAACAAATATCGAGTCTCTCATACGTGACAGTCACCACACCAACTGCGTTACACATGTTGTCTCACTTCATCCTCACACAATCCTTTGATTTAGCTGTGTGGCTGCTGTACAGAGGGGCAGGTTGTTCACTGTACAGGGCGCCAGGCAGAGGGGCAAACACTGACTAAATTCTAGCTCCTGCTTTGCTCACCAAGCCATGCGCCTGGCACGGGGCTGCTTCCATCCAGGGGAAGAAGCATCTTATTCCAATTTAAACAAAGACACCGCCCACTCCTCGAGCAGTGCACATTGGCGCAGGGTGGTGCCCGCCTGGAGGGGGGTGCCTTTTCCTGATTTGCACACAGGCGCTGCATGAGGGAGCTTCAGTCCTGGAGCCAGGTATTAATATCGTCTTCATTTTGCGGCGTTAAGAAATTTGCCCGAGGACCTACGGCAAGGAAAGGGTGGGATGTGATCCTTCAAGGAGGGACCCACAAGGGTCAGGGGACATTTGGAAAGCTTGGGGTGTCGGGGTTAACGCCTGTCTTTGTGGTCCCTTTTGCGAAGCTGAATGGTGGCCCACTGAACCCACGAGAGATCGGGCAGAGGAGGGTGGCCGAGGAGGAGACAGACACCTGGACGTCTGCTCTGCTGGGACGAGGGGTGGGAGCAGGCTTGTTCCTCTGACGATGAGGACGCAGGGAGCACAAACCGTGGTAGCGATGTGCCCGGCGTGTGTGAACTGATTTATACGCATCCCCTCTTTTTGTGCTTAGACATCTCTAAGGACAAGGAATTTAGATTTATTTCCCCATATAACCCCAGCCCCTACCAGAGAGCCTCTCACATAGCAGGCCGTCAGTAAGCGTTTGCTGAATGAATGAACGCTCCTAACAGCCCTCCAAAGAAAGTTTTATTTTATTACCCCGTTTTATGAGCATGGAAACTGGCCAGGGAAGTTAAGTAACTTACCCAAGGCTCTGCAGAAGCCAGAAACAAGTTTGTTCTCTGCATGGCGGCGACACCAGAGAATTTCAGCAAAAGCCCGAACTCCAGCCCAGCTGGCTCTCTGCCCCTCCCTAACGCCGGGGACTACTCTCGGCCACTGCTCCGCACACCTGCTAAGCTGGGCCACTTCTTCCAGTTAACACCTAGTGGAGATTTCAGTTCCTCCCTGGGGTCCACGGGCCCTACGTGATCTTCCCCCAGCATCCTCTGGTGACCCTTGTGCCTTGAGCCCTAAGCCTTCCCCCGTGTCCCCAGCAGCCTATGCGCCGCCATGCCTTCTGCCGCAGTGTTTCCCCCAGCAGCCCTCTGCCTCTGTATTCTGACGTCTTCATTAACCTCCCACCACTCAAGCACCTCCCCCACAAATGTAAGCACCATGACAGCAATAACTCTGTTTTGTTCATTGCAGGACTTGAAACAACTTATTTGAGATGAAATTTACATATCATAAAATTCACGCATTTTAAGTGTACAATTCAATGATTTTTCGTAAATTTACTGAGGTGTGCAACTATCACTATAACCCAACTGAGAGCATGTTCATCACCCCAGTAAGATCTCTCACGCTCATTTACAGTTAATCCCATTTCCACCCCCAACCCCGGGCAACCAGTAATCTACTTTCTTTCTCTATAAATTTGCCTATTCTGGACATTTTATATAAACGGAAACATACAATCTATGGTCTTTTATGTCTGGCTTGTTGCACTTAGCACAATGTTCTTGAGGTTCATCAATGCTAGAGTACGCATGTGTATTTCATTCCTTGTTACTGCCAAGTACTATTCCATCATGTGGCTATGGCACATGGTTTATCCATTCACCAGCTCATGGACCACCAGGCAGTGTTTCCTCTTTTGGGCTGTTACGACTAATACCATCATGAACATTTATGAGCAAGTCTTTGTGTAGGCATGTTTTCATTTCTCTCAAACAAATACCTATAGGTGAATTGGCTTACATGGTAAATCTAGGTTTACCTTTTTAAGAAACTGCCAGACTGCTTTCCAAAGCAGCTCCATCATTTTATATTCTCACCGGCAATGCATCAGGATTCTCATTTGTCCACATCCTTGTTATTATCTGATGTTTTTGCTTATAGCCATTCCAGTGGGTGTGAAATGGTATCTCATTGTGCTCTGTAAATATCTGAATGAATAAATAAATAATCTCTGATGCTGGATAGAACTTAGGTGTGAACCCTTGTGGTGATACTTAACAAGCTGTTTTACCTGGAGCAAGTCACATCGCCGCTGTGGGGCACAGGGATTTCAAGACATAGTGGTGGTACCCTCAGAAACAGAGTGTCTGCTATGGATTACGTGCCCACTAAATGTAGCTGCCATCATCATTGCCACCATTAATATTTATTATCATTGTTACCATCACCCAGAGACAAGCCCACACCAGTGACAGGGATGACAGCAGCTAACATCTGTTAAGTGATCCCTACAACATGCCAGGCTCCATTCTAAGCATCTGACGTGTATTAATGCTTTAATCTACACAACAACTCTATGAGATTGGTACTATGATTATCGCTGGTTTACAGGGGAGAAAGCAGAAGTTCAGAGAGTTTGTCACTTGCCCCAAATTAGAGTTAGTAAGTGACAGGGCTGGCATTGAACCCAGGACCTTGGCTCCAGAGCCCGTGCTCTCTATCACTGCATCACAATTCCTGCCCTTACAAGGCAAACTGGATGAGTGCCATTCTAGAGGAGCAGACAAAATTCAAGTGGAGGATCAAGGAGGGGAAGATGAAGCGTGCTTGGTCTTGGTTAGGGCATCCCATCTGAGGCTGCCCGAGGAGCAAGGCACACAGTTGTGGAATTTGCTCCTCGTTTTGCATACTGGCGTGGCTCTGGTCACAGAGCTAAAGGCATCTTTTGTGCCGTTGCTCAGCAGTGAGTGACGTCATGGGCACTGTCAGGTCTTTATCAGTTCTGCCAGATAAATAGCTAACCGTACATGTTCTGGAGAAGCCGGCAAGGTACTGAGCCGCAGCGCATTTGGGTCCTCAAATAAGAGGTGAGCGCGGGGCCCTGAGGAGCCGTGTGGAGGGGTGTCCTGGTGCTTGCTCTACTGGGGAAAGGGACAGGGGACGGCATGACCAGGAAGACAGGCGGGCTGACCCCGCTGGGGAAGGCATCGGGGGTGTGAAGGAGTGAGGGTGGGACAGCATTCCTGCTGGTAGTTGAGATGCTGCCGGTGGGGGCAGGGGGAGTCCCCCGAGACTTCCACCTCCGTGTCTCTATCTCTTTCTCTCTCTCTCCCCCAGTGGCCGTGATCATGGACACAAACCCGGAGCAGACCTTCTTCTCCAGCAACCACTGGCTCTTCTTCTCCGTGTACCTCTTCACCTTCCTCGTGGGGCTCCCCCTCAACGTGGTGGCCCTGGTGATCTTCGTGGGCAAGCTGCGGCGCCGCCCGGTGGCCGTGGACGTGCTCTTGCTCAACCTGACCCTCTCCGACCTGCTCCTGCTCCTCTTCCTGCCCTTCCGCATGGCGGAGGCAGCCAGCGGCATGCTCTGGCCCCTGCCCTTCGTCCTCTGCCCCGTCTCCGGATTCCTCTTCTTCACCACCATCTACCTCACCTCCCTCTTCCTGGCGGCTGTGAGCACCGAGCGCTTCCTGAGCGTGGCCTACCCGCTGTGGTACAAGACTCGGCCGAGGCCGGGCCAGGCTGGCCTGGTCAGCGGAGCCTGCTGGCTCCTGGCCGCCGCTCACTGCAGCGTGGTCTACATCATCGAACTCTCGGGGAACTCTTCCCAGAGCCAGGGTAAAAACGGGACGTGCTACCTGGAATTCCGGGACGACCAGCTGGCCATTCTCCTGCCTGTCCGGCTGGAGATGGCTGTGGTCCTTTTTGGGGTGCCCCTGCTCGTCACCGGCTACTGCTACAGCCGCCTGGTATGGCTGCTCGGCAGGGGGGCCAGCCACCGCCGGCGGAAGAGGGTGGCGGGGCTGGTGGCAGCCACGTTGCTCAATTTCCTCGTCTGCTTTGGGCCCTACAACATGTCCCATGTCGTGGGCTACATCCAGGGCAGAAGCCCGACGTGGAGAAGTTACGTGCTGCTCCTTAGCACCCTGAATTCCTGTGTCGATCCCCTCGTCTACTACTTCTCATCGTCTGGGTTCCAAGCCGACTTTCAGGGACTGCTGAGGAGGCTGACTGGGGTCTGGGGCCCTGGGAGGCAGGAGAACAGCGAGCAACTGCAGGAGAGGAAGGAGGGAGAGGAGCAGGTGCAGGAGCCGCCCAACAGAGAGAACAGGTAGTGGGCTCCGGAGGGCCGTGGAGTGGGTGGCCGAGTGGCCTGGGCTGACAGACATATTATCCCCAGGGCAGCTCCTGGCTCAAGCCAGGCAGGACCTTGGAGTGGCATGCCGGGGACCGTGTGGCCCGGGGCAGAGCAGGCGCCCAGCCTTCCTGAGGATGTGCTCACCAAAGCCCAGTTCTTGATCCCACCATGCTGCCCCCCCTTCCCATCCCCACATGCTATGGATTCAGCCCTGAGAAGTAGCCGGGGTGAGCGAGGGCTCTGGAGAAAATGAGCTCCCATGGCAACAGGCCGGCGGCCGTGCTTCTCGGACGGTAAAGAAGGAGTTGAGGGCAGTGTCCAGGGCCTGAGGGAGTTGCCCAGGGCCTTGGGACAGGGCAGACGAAGAATCTACCCTTCAGAGCTGCTGATCCGGCAGGTCAGGAGTTGGGGACAGGACTTCAGGCCTGAGGGAGCATCCTGCTCTCACATGGGCTTTTCCAGAAAGTTTCCGTTGTTCAACCAATTCAGATTTTCAGGGACAGTTATGGAAAATGATAGAAGAAAAATTACCTAAATAAATTTGATAGCAGACAAAAGAGAATGGTCTTATTCTGTGTTTTCTTGTGGTGTACGTGGGTCAGGTGACATTGATAGATGGCAGAATAAAACATCTTGACTCTGAAGGAAAAGGGCAAAACAGTAAGATGCCTCGATGCTGGGAGAGGATCTGGGTTGGAGCAATAAAAATAATAGCTAACTTATCTTAAGGACCTGGCCTGACACATTATCTCCTCCAGTCCTCTCAATAACCACGTGGCAGGTACTATTATTGTTCCCATCCTACAGGTGAGGGAGTGAGCCCAGGGAGGTGAAGGCTCTGACCTGAGATCCTGCAGCCAGTAAGTGACTGCAGCAGGACTGGATGCTGGAATTAGCTGACTGGGAAACCCATGCCCCTCACCCACTCCGCTGTTCCGCCTCCGGCCGTGCTTCCTCCACCGGGCCGGGGCCCGGTCAGACTTCCCAAGTCGGCTGAGGCCAGCCGGCCGGGACAAGTGTGGATAGACCACCATGGGAAACAAAACTAGAGGCAAAGCAGATCGACTCTCTGTGTGGATACATCCTCTCCCCAGGAAAGAAACCCTCTCGAAAAAATAAATTAAGATAATTAGTCAGCATGGTTGACTTCAAAGACAGATGTATGTTCTTAAGAGTTATTTTCGTCCAGATGTGATCATTTAGTCCTGACCGGTGGTACACGAGAAACAGGTGGTGGAGGCCGCCTCTCCCAGCAGGCCACCCAGAGCGATGCCAGCACCTGTTAGCACTCAGCTTAAGTTCAAAAACACTGATTGCACACCTACTGTGTGCAGACGGCTGGGCTCAGAGCTTCAGGGATTTCAATCCTCATGTCCTTAGCATCTGCTTTCTCCCTGGGGTTAAGGTCCCAGGAGAGTGAGGCCTGGCTGTGGGTAGGGATTGGTCTCAGGTGAGGGAGAGACATCATCTCTGTGCAGAGATGAAGCTTGAGCTGTCTGTCTGTCCCACAGCTGATGTGTCTGTCCTGAGGCACTCAGGCCCGGTGGCTACTAAGAAGTGGATGTGAACCTGAGTCCATGTGGTTCAGAAAAGGAACAAGGTGACATGCAGGTCTGGGGCTCCAGAAGTGGTAGCAGGGACCCCAGGCTGAGGGGAGCTGGAAACCCCACATTCTAAAGACAGCCGCAATAAACAGGAGTCTGACCCCTCCTGCAGGGTTTATGAGGAAGAGTAAGGGGCAGCTTCAGGGGCTCTGCTGCCCCTAGCCATCTCACAGCACCACCCCCGCCCAGTCTGTATAAGCAAACGGCTGGGCTGGGCGTGGGGAGGATGAAGTCATCAGAGGCTGGGCCGTGGCCGGGGCAGTGCGGGGAGGCTGGTAGTGTTTTCCACATCTCTCGGAAACCAAGGGAGAGGGGTGCTCAGAGGACGGAGGGCGTGTTCTGGACTGCCGCCCTGCGCCCATCTAAGCAGGGGAAAGGAGACGGGCAGAGGTGGCGTGGGGGTGTCCGCGTGAGCGATGGAGCATCATGTGCTCTCCCACTCGGCAGGGCACGTCCATGTGCATCTCCCATGGCTGACGGGATTGCAGGCAAGGGGCGACGTTCTGGGGGTTCTGGAAGAGGTCAAACTGGGTTGGACCTCCCAAGACAAAGGTCAGAGAAACTCAATTCTAGCTACAAAAGAGAGCCAACAATTGGGTACCTGCCTCCCAGCGGACACCAAAAGCTACTCAATATTAGCTAAAGCACTGTTTCTCACACTTTTTTGTGTCATTGTCCCCTCGAGGAGTCTTTTTGGATATTTTTCCTACTCAGCACCCTCCCCTCCCTGCCCATGAAATTTTAATACAACAGATACACTTATGTCTGTTTATGTGTGTAGCCCGTTGGAAGGCCACAGACCATTCTAAGAGTTTTTTGCTCCCCTCGAACTAAATTTCACCTCTTTGGGGGGCAATGCTGTCCCTGCTGAGCATGCGTGAGCCATACAGCGGTAGAGCCCATTGTGCACAACTGTAGCCCAACAAAGCTGGATTTCTTCTCTTGCTGGAGCACAGAAGACCACACTCCAGGGGAGTGTGGGCATCTCACAAAAGAGGTGGGTCATTATAGGATTCGGGGAAGGGTGACGTTAGGTGAACTTTCAATGAAGCTGAGTTTGGTGGCCTCAAAGCAGGGCTGTGTGGAAACACATCAAGATCAGGCCAGGGCTGAGGAGCAGATCAGGGTCCTGTTTCTCTGGAAAATACGAAGTAAAGAAGAAGGTAGAATTTTGTGTCTGAAAACTCCTTATCTGAAGTTCTGGGGGCTGAAAAGCCAGGCTGCTTCTCTGTGTCACAGGCTCCCGCCCGCATCCCCGGAGCTGCAGTGGGATGTTCCATCTCTCTGATGGGATTTCAAACAGCCGTGTTTCGGACAGTCTGTGACTTGAGAGAACAAGGTTTCTCAGCAATATAATTTTGTTACTTAAGAAAACCAGATTTTAAAGGTTTACAAAAGGAATGTATTGATGGCCAGAAAGTAGGAGGAGCTTTTTCTTCCTAGAAGGAAGGGTCCCTCTTCACCAAAAACTAGGGCAGGGCAACCCAGAAGGATGGGAGGGGGAGAGGCTTCACCCATCCCTGCCACAGTTTCCCTGGGCCACTTTTCAGGTCAGCTTATAGGGGAACGGGGAGGAGGCTAGAAGTTTTAAATCACCGAGTATGACCAGAAACATAAGGAAGCTACCCATGAAGTCATTAAGAAACCGCCAGAGAGTTCCATACAGCCTGGCCAAAGGCAGTGGGTGGGAAACCATGGCAGGCTTGTGCGGGGCCAGGCTCAGACTATTCCTGCCCACATCAGTCAGAGGAGGGCAGAGGGGCGGGCAGGAAGCGCGGAGGACACTGGGCACCTGTAGGCAGGCTGACGACGCCTTTGGTGGATACACCATCTGGGGCAAGTGAACAAAGAGAATGAAATAGTGTGATCAAGAGCTCAACTTTTTACCTGCCTCTTTCTGACATGACTCTTCTGGTTTAAAAAACAGAAAGCCCCGGGGCTGGCCCCGTGGCATGGCGGTTAAGTGTGCGCGCTCCGCTGCTGGCTGCCCGGGTTTGGATCCCGGGCGTGCACCAACGCACCGCTTGTCAGGCCATGCTGTGGCGGCATCCCATATAAAGTGGAGGAAGATGGGCACGGATGTTAGCCCAGGGCCAGTCTTCCTCAGCAA